TTTTTTACGCCAAGGAATAGGAAACCATCGAACAGCACACGAGAGTACCATGTTTTGACTCGTTTGACACGCCATATCTAACTTACCGAATTCACAACAAATTATTATAAGTATTCATTGCTTTTCCATGTTGCTCATTTCCATTGACTTCAACTCATGTGGAAATCAAGCAAGAGTTATTTAGTCATCAATGAATATATGAATTATGATATTATATATTGTATATTATATGTTATTTGTTTACTTTATTACTCACTTATTTTGTTGTGCGAAAAGTAATCGTTTTTATTTGTGAATTTGTGTGCTCTGCAAGAAGAGTAATAGATGTTTTAATCTATGAATGCTGTTTTGATATATTGCTGATATTCGTTGCTACATTGAAGATTTTCAATGGGACTTATAATGTTTCGGTTAATGACRCCTGTATTTTCATCCTCCCACACAATMATGTAGCATTCATTTCCGTCGTTGTTGGTCCGTTCGTTGCTCGATTGTTTCAGTTCTTACTTATTACATATTCATTCATCTATTCTATCACTCTCCCATCGATCCTTTTATGTATTCAACAATCCATTCATAAATTCGTCAATTTATACATTAATTCATCAATTTATACATTAATTCATCAATTTATTCATTAATTCATCAATTTATTCATTAATTCATCAATTTATTCATTAATCATCAATTTATACATTAATTCATCAATTTATTCATTAATTCATCAATTTATTCATTAATCATCAATTTATTCATTAATTCGTCAATTTATTCATTAATTCATCAATTTATTTATTAATCATTAATTTATTCATTATTCATCAATTTATTCATTAATTCATCAATTTATTCATTAATTCATCAATTTATTTATTCATTCATCAATTTATTCATTATTCATCAATTTATTCATTAATTCATCAATTTATTTATTCATTCATCAATTTATTTATTAATTCATCAATTTATTCATTAATCCTTCAATTTATTCATTAATTCATCCTATTATTTGATTCTTGAATCGATGTGCTTCTCTGATTCAAACAAATTGACATGTTGTTGTCTTTAAAATTCTAGTTAGTCCTGACGTAGCAGAAATTTTGCGTATCTGCGTGAAAGGAAACGTGCCCTATGACAGAATTTTTTCTCAAAAGCCTGTACGAGTAAAAGACAAGTCACATTCTAGTTATTTGTTGAAAATAACTCCCTATAGTRTTTGTTGAAAATAAATCCATCCATCGCGGACACTCGCTATTGCCGACACTTGATTATTGTCTCGAAGGTGTCCGTTATAGAGAGTTTACTTAACCTGTGTTTTACACTTCTAATAAACGCACTTTTTTCTCAGGTTGTTGGAATTACAACCGTTAGCCCGTTTGCGACCAGCGAAGAACTAAGCTCACCTTACTACAGTACATTCTTCCGCACCATTCCCCCTGATGGTCAGCAGGCTAAAGCCATGGTCGACCTAATCGAGCAATTCCGGTGGCAATACGTGGCCGCTGTTGCTGTTGACCACTCATATGGCCGCTATGGGGTACGTGCCTTGGAACGAGAGTCTTACGACCGGAAGTCGTTCTGCATTGCCATGGTGGAATACTTCACGCGCTCAGGGTATAAAGGTCAACTTAAAACTATCGTTGAAAAGCTAAAACGTGAGTCCAACATCCAAGTCATTGTTCTCTGGAGTAATTATGAGCCAGCGAGACGATTTCTMGAGGAGGCTTCCGCTCAGCGGTTGTTTGGTCGCACGTTTCTGGTGAGTGAAGCGGTTGCTACAATCGGTAAAGATGTGCTTGAGAGGCACGCAGCGGTGCTTGGGAATTCTTTAGGGATTTTRCCWCACCAATACGAAGACAAAGGATTCATAAATCATCTCATGAAGGTGTCTCCTGCCATGACAAAGGACAATCCGTGKTGGAAGGAATTCTGGGAGTCCGAATTTAATTGCACTACCGCTGACCATCATAATCGGCTCAAGTCATGTGACTCAAACCTGAAGCTTGGACAGCGGTACGAAAAGCTTTACAACTCCTTTATTCCATATTTGTCTGATGCGGTGTATGCAGTCGCRCATGCGCTGAACTTGATGATTAAGTGCAAAGTACACGATCCCACACGTGAGAACTGTTTAGAGTTGTTAAAGCCACGTGACTTGGCCGCATATATGAAAAACGTRTCTTTCCGAGGTCTGACGGGTAAAGTGGTSTTCAATGACGAGGGGAACCCTGTKGAYTCGTTCTACGACATCGTCAACTTCAAGTATCTTAACAACAAGTATAATATCGTTCCCGTTGGATTCTGGGAAGGRAGYGGGAACTTTAAGAATCTTACCATAAATCAGTCCTCGATTCGGTGGAACACCAAAGACAAYATCGTMCCYGAGTCCGCGTGCAGTAAAACYTGTCCAGCGGGTTTCAAACAAACTGATACTGTYGCTTGTTGTTGGGAGTGCCTCARATGTCCAGACGGCTTCGTYAGCACACTTCCRGGTTCACGYAACTGTACGAAATGCCACGAAGAACAGAAGTCGAATGGCAAAAACACTAAATGCGTTAGTCTTCCTATTATTAACATCAAATGGGACGAGCCTATGGCTGCTATATCGGTTACGTTAAGCGCTCTAGGTATCGTTGGGACATTCTTTGCAATGGGAGTGTTCTTCTTGAACAGAGACACCCCCATTGTGAAGGCTTCTAATCGTGAACTTAGTCTTGTGTTGCTTGTGCTTGTACTTATGTGTTTCTTGTTGACGTTTCTTCATATWAGTCTTCCAAACGATGCCYTATGCCTGGTGATTCAACCATGGAGATACATCACGTGYACTTACATAGTCTCTATTCTCTACCTCAAGACGAACAGGCTMGTCAGCGCMTTTCAAACTACCATGGTCCCTTCGTGGTTCAAGAAGTTCGTCCTCCATCGCAACAGACAGCACGCTGTGGCTTTTCTGTTGAACATMATACAGATTATCTTTACGATAATATGGCTCATCYTGGACCCACCATACATGTACAAAGATATCAAGCCCCAMAAGCAMRTCTTTCTGACATGCCGGCTTGGTAAAACGCCCGTGGGCCACGCCCTACAAGCTTCGATGTTCACCTACCTAATCTTCCTATCCGGTCTTTGCTCKTTGTATGCGTTCAAAGCCCGTAGACTCCCGGAGAACTTCAACGAAGCAAAGTTYATTGGTTTTGCGATTTATATTCTGTTGTTATCGTGGGTTGTGTATTACCCGGTGGATTCCACGCTTGAGGGGTCGTATATTACRTTTGTTGCTTGYGTYACTGCGTTGTTAACTGCGTAYGGGCTTYTAGGMTGTCTTTTTCTGCCTAAAGTCTACGTTATGCTTGCGTATCCGGAGAAAAACACTGTAGATTTTGTCAAGGCAGAGGTTGGGAATTTTTCTAAAAGTTTTCGTAACGCCTCTGAGTCGATAAATGTCGCCAGGGCCAACAGGATAAGTCCRACAGAAGTGGGGACGTCTTCTTGAGCGGCTACCTATCGGGCATTAACCTACCGAGGAAGTTCCCAAAACACTGATTTCCTCATCCTATGGATTGTAAAAGTCTACTATTCTACTACCGGGGAAATGTCTCCCGGGTACTAACCGGTGGAAAGACTCTTGTCACCGCGGAGAAGCGAAACGATTTTTAAAACGCATGGAGTTTAAAAGTACAGAATATATCGTATATAAGATATTCTAACGGATACTGATGGACTCTCGGATACTCCGGATACTACCCGATACTCGGGTACTAGCCGATARAAA